TTAAAAAGTAAGATTCTCTAACCCCGCTCAGGAACCAGCTCTCAGCCCTTTTGGGGTTGCACAGAATAGATTCTTGGTAGACCTCCTATATAATGTGTGCCTTCTATCAAAACTCATTTTTGGCAAGTGTGTCAAACACACACACACACACTATTTCTCATTGTGCATTTCTTCTCCCTTCCCCCCTCTTTGATGGTGTTCATACTTATTGTTTATTATTATTATTATTAGTCTTCCCTTGAATCTGTTCCTCACCTGGGATATGGCCATCTCAGAATCTGTGGACACCCGCAATACTTTTTTTCTCCCTCTAGCAGGTGAGGGTAAGTGTAGGCTTTCTTGGACTTGAATCTTTGTCTACCCTAAAGCTCCCTGCTGTTGCACATGATTAGCTCAAGGCTGTTTCTATTGATAGGTAACTTTACGTTTCTTTTGGCCAGCAAGTTATAGGAATTTCTTTATCCCTTATGTTCAGTTATTTTATAGAATATGCCTTTCAGTGTGTTTCTCTACTTAAATGTTTCTCTGTGCCTTGTCAACTTTTCTTAGGTTTAGGTCTTTCCTCGACTTGGACAATTTTGCCCTATTATTTCTTAGTTACTATTTGCCTAGTTTTCTTTTCTAGTCATATCTAATCTTTCTATCTACGTGTTATATCTCCTTGATGTATTTATCAGCCTTTCCCCATCCTCTGTGTGTAAGTGTGTACACACGTGTGCACACAGGGATGTTTTGAGATATTTCTTCTATTTTGTCCTCAGGCCAGCAGCGGGGGCCCCTGCCGATGGCCAGCCTGCCCTTCCTTTACTCCTGGTAGTGAGCTCATAGAGCGTTAGTCCCGGCCACACTGGACTGTCCCTGAGGCTCATACAGTGTTTTAGCTCCAGTTCCTTCTGCATCATCGTGTTTGTGTTACTCAGCTTTCCGTCACTGTAATCAATTTGTAAAGAGAAAATGGCCCACAGTTTTGGAGGTTTCAGACCTCGACTGACTGGTTTTTAGGCCAAGGGCAGGTAGCACATCATAGTGGAAGCATGTGGTGGAGAAAACCATTCACCTTATGGTCAGAAGCAAAAAGAGAGCAGGAAGAAGGGGCCCAGCTCCACAATCCCTCCAAGGACACCTCCCAGTAACCTGAAAACCCCCACCGAGCCCCTCCGAGAGGCCTCACCACCTCCCAGTAGTGCCACGCTTAGCACCAAGCCTGTGACACGTGGATTTTTGAAGGACACTTAAGATCCAAACTATCACTCAAGCGACATTCAAGCATCTTCTGTCTTGTTGCCAGGTCCCCTTAAATGCATTGATGTCTGATTTTATCAGATGGTTGGTGAGGTGAAGGAAGGTAAAGAGTGGAGGTGCAACACCAGATGGTTTCTAGAGCCCCATTGAAGAGCACCTCCCCTAATACCTCACAGGCCGGGCCCAAGGCCTAGAGAGCCTGCCTGGGCTCCTGCTCTGCCTCCTGGAGCCTCTGTTAGAAGCTCTGAGAAGCTCACGTGGGGCTGACCACCATCCTTCAGGACTCTGTCCTCCCCAGAACTTGACTTGAGTAACTGATTGCCCTTCCACCGGCACTGCATGGCTTACTAGTGTTACAGAGAGCCTAACTTAGGAAGGAGTCATGGAGACTTGGGAGTTATTTTCTTTCCAGAATGCTCCTTCCTTTCCCAGCTTTAACCTAACGCAGCGGTCTTGTGGAGAGAACTGCATGGAATCCGGAAAAGAGCCATAGGTTCTAGGCCTAATTTTGTCTCTATTAAGCTGTGTGACCATCAGCACATAACTCGATTTTCTTATGCCTCTCTGTCCTTTATAAAATAAGGAGATTGGGTGCCCATTGACCTGAGATTCATTCTCATTCCGTGTGAAATCTGAGTGTCTTGAAAGTTCTACTGCTTACTTCACAGTGATGAGGAGTGGGAAGGCTTTTCCTCTTGTATTCTCTGCAGCCCAGGAATTCCATAAAGGAAAGCAGAAATGTCAGGCTTTGGTTTTCATTTGAACAAAGAATTCAGCTGCTGATGCTTGTCTGAAAACCACCACCACATCCTCCATAATCCCTAGAATTCATTTTATCAAGCATGAGTTTCTTCCTGTTTCTTTTTGATGTTTTTGCTTTTTCCCTTCACATTACATTTGTGCGCACTACTTTCTCCAGCAACTGTTTGAAACAGGCAGCATTTATACCCTTCACTTTCCGGGAATTGAAGGGATCAGAATATGCACCCTAAAATGTGCCTCTCCAGCAAATCAATTATTTTGAGATAAAAGCAGTTGAAAAGAAGCACAGGCAAAAAGCATTTTTTTTTTACTCCTCCCTAACTGCCTAACAATAGAGTACATATTTCCCTTTCTTAAAGGAAATTTGCATTCATAAGGGAAATTTCCATTTGTAAAAGGTGTCTCCATCTTAGGGAGAAAGCTACTCCTACTGACAGCTCCTATCTCTGAGGAGAAACTCAGGAGTCTTACCTCACTGGTGTAGCAGAACAGCCCTAACTCCCATGCATTTCCTCCTTTCACCTAGCTTTCTCTGCCTAGAAGCCTGAGACCCCTTTTCATTGTTCAGCCTTATTTTGAAGAAGCCTCTGTCATCTGGGCACCTCTCTGAGCCTCATTTCTTTCTGAGCTCCCCTACCTCTGTGTGCGTGCGTGCGTGCGTGTGTGTGTTTGCGCGTGCGCGCATAATTTAAATTTAACATCCTCTTGTTAATCTGTTTTTTATCAGTTTGATTCTTGGGAACAGCCAGTGAACTGGGAGGTTCTCTAGGGTGGGGGGAAAGGTTTGTTTTTCCATGTGGGCTAGCACTGGAAGGTCACTAAGCAGGATCTTAAGTCACCAAAGGCCTGAGCTGGGTATCTATCCTTGGGGCATAGCTTCCTCCCCAGGACCCGACTGTTTGTCATAAGGTTTCTGCAAGCTCATTAAAAAAAAAAAACTTGGCTTGAGTAGGTCAGCCTGCTACAGCCACTGCCTTTGAGATGATTTGAGATGTCGGCTAATGTTTTTCACGAGAAAAGGCAAGAGTTTATATTGCTGATGTTTAAAAGCCAAGGGGCTTTTGCTATTTCTTTATTAAAAAATGATGAGTGAGCTAAAGTCAGAAAGCAGTAAGCCAAAGTGCCTATCTGTGTGGAGTAGGTATCTCGTACCTTGGACGTTATTACATCCTGAATGAGGTAGCGAAAATGACTGAGCGGGGAGATGACATACTGAAGATGGGAGATTTAATAGAGGTTTCACCTCAAGCCTCCGTATAGGAGTTCCGCCAACATCATGATTACATTTATAAAGATTTCATGGACCGGGGATTTAGCTTAGCGGTTCGGTGACTTGCCTTGCAAGCACAAGGACCTGAGTTCATTCCCCGATCCCCGGTAACACACAAAAAAAAGATTTCATGGTGTAAGTAATCAGCATATAGGAGCAGAACTTAGTGGATTTGTTTAAGAATGCTGGCCCACAAAGTCACCGCAGACATACGGTATCTGTGTGAATGGGAGAAACACAGACAGCTTGTATGAATGCATATTGTCTGGGCTGTGCAGACTTCACAAGAGCTGACTAATGGGGCTGCGTTGGTGGGGGCCCCAGAGAGCCACGGAGCCCCATAGCAGAGCAGGAACCCAAGGCTCTCCGTGCTCCAGCCCTCACCTCTCCCTGATTACTGTGAGACACACTGACACCGACATTGCCAAAGCCTTGTCCTTTTGTGTCCACTCTCTGTTACTCTGCACGCCTCTCCGTTTTCTCTTCCCCTCCCCACCCCTGCCTCTTTCTTGGGGAAGGTGTTCAGCTGCCAGGTGCACTCGCACAGGGGTACCTGCTTTGGGGTGAGGCTGCCTCTGGGCTGTGGCATGCAGAGATTTAGTTGCCTGTGATGAGTCCTGCTTTGGGCAGCCTTGTTTTCTGCCAACAGGATGTGCGGCATAGGATTCCATTCCAGCTCTGTCCTCCAACGCCCCAGGCTGACTCAGGAGCTGCTCCTCCTGGTATCCAAAGCTCGGGCTCTCAATCTTTGGCTCTTCTCTTTCCTAAGCCTGAATTGCAGGTCTCACCACTCACATCCACATTTCCTCCATTCTGTCTTCCTAATCAACTAATCCTTCTTAAATAATCATTATCAGCAACCCATTTTTATCAAAGTACATTAAGATTTTGCCACCTGCGAGCTACTAAGACCCAACTATTACCTATCTGGTCCTTGAAGGTGTTTGTGTTTATGGTGCAAAAGCCAAAAATATATATATCAATAAGGGAAACCATTTCCATTTTATGATGAGGAGAGAGACTCGATAAAAACACAGACAGGAAATTAAGTGGAGTAATATTGCCGTCCCTTCCTGGAGGTACGGTAATGTGTGCAGACCCACCATTTTTGACAGTCTCCTCGAGATTGAGACTTATTATAAAATTTATATGCTTGTGAAATTTTATAAGGAAAAGCTTTGTTTTTGTTTTGTTTGTTATTTCAGTTATTTTTGGGAGAATATTAGTTGAATTCAGTAAAACAACTTTTAAATGAGAATGAATTCTGGTAAACCACTGATTATTAACTGTAACTTCCCCATAATTCTAACACTTAAAAGGTGTTTGTAACTAAGTTTTAATCTCATAAAGGCTTTTAAAGTAAATATTATCATCTGCATTTTGCAGAGAAAGAAATTTGCAGTTAGTTCATTAAGAAACATAATTTGCAGGACTGGGCGATGTAGCTCAGCAGTACCATGCCTGCCTGGCAAGTACAAAAAGGTCCTGAGTTCAACACCTGGAGGGGGAGGCGACACATAACTTGTAACCTGGAAAACCAGCTGGCATCTAGTTCTTTCTGGATCAAAATGAAACTCTAGGGTTTCCTACTGCCTCTTTATGTGTAAATAACTATAGATTTAAAAAGTAAAAGAAGGGTAGATTTGCATTAGAGCCCAGAAAATATTACTGCAATGATTGCTAAATTGTTTTCTGACTTTCTTTGTCTTTGAACATTTTCTTCCAGGGTCAACGTCTTTTTGAAAAGTTGCTCCAACTGACATCACAAAATATTGAAATCAAGCTAGTGAGCGATGTGACAGCCAATTCAAAGGTATTAGAAGCCTTGAAATTAAAGGGTAAGGCCAAGGTCGATATGCTACTCTGCCACTGGGTTTTCTGTTAAAAACCTTGAGATTTTAAAATAATATATAATTTATATAATTAAATAACATATCATTTCTTCCTAATAAGTACATTTGATTTAGTACGCTTCTTGCTTCTCCTTTGAAAAATAGCTAGATTAAGGAAGGAACTAATTAACTGATACTACTGAGATTTTTGCAAAAACTAAAATGCAAAAGAATCTACTTGACATTAAATGATAATTATTTATAAAGAATAGTCTTTTTCCTCTGAACACTTCAATGATGTGATTCAAAGAAGAAAGACTTCTCACTAGAACAAACAATGGATTTTGTTTTTCTCTTGCCCGTCAAATGAAAATCCCCTTCATGCTCCATATTCTTTAAAATAATCTAGTCTTTTCAACCAATATTCTATAGAAAATTCAGTTTAGAAATCCTGAGCTTGAGTAAGTTAAATTAAATTAAAACTGACCCTTCCAGATACAGAGGCTTCTCAATAGAGCAGTGACCTTACTCAGTGTGAATGGAAATTCTGAGGATTCAGGTTATGTGCTGTATTTGCTTAAGGACCATGAAGATGTCTTTAACAGAACCTTTGACAGCCAGTGCATTCAGTAATAGGAAGTGATCCTGTCCAAAGAAAGTAAATAAGTAAACAAACAAAACCACCGTATTACCTGAAATAGGAAGGAGATTATGCAAATTAGTTTTACGTTCAATTTCTACAGGAAATCAAAACCCTGAATCATGCTGGAGAAGGGACTGTTTGGAGTAGGCAAAGAGGATATCAGAAACCCTATGCTTAGCTGTGCGGCGTGATATAATTGCAACCCAAATGGAAGGAGGTAGTAGCTATATGAAAAGGTCAGGTGATTGGTCCTTCTGACCTTGTCTGCCAAGAGGTAGTGAGGTAACACATCCCACTGGTGGGTTAAACTCTCACTAGGTGGTTTGGTATTTTTCAAGTTTTTAAAAACATTTCTTTTCATTGAAAATAAATTTGTGTGTGTGTGTATTTGTCATGTATAACATGTTTTGAACTATGTGTTCATTCTAGAATGGCTCATTTTGGAATGGCTAAATTGAGCCAGAGGAACATGCATTATTCTATGTATTTATATTTTTGTGTGTAGAGAGAACACTCAAAATCTACTTAGCAATTTTCAAGAACACAAACACTGTTACTAACTACGGTCACTCTGCTGCACGGAGCTCTCTCAGTCCACTTGCACAGCCGCAGAGTGGAAGTCGTCCCAGAGTGTGCTGAGTCTCCATGCTGCACCTCCTTCTGATGCTACGATGTTCTGAGGATCCGGGGGTCAGCTTGGTCTCACAGGTGTTCGTTTGTTAGGGTCAAACATGCATTCTCCTCCCCTCCCTTCTCTTCCACACATAAACCCACCAGTGATTAAACCTAGAGCTGAGTATGTGCTGCACAGATACATCTTATGACGTATTTAAGGAATTGGTAACAGAACTATTTCATAAGGTTTTGTTTGGTTTGGCCAGAGCATTCGTCAGATTTAGATAGATAGATAGTCAGATTTAGATAGATAGATAGATAGACAGACAGACAGACTAGTAGGTAGATAATAAACCTAGAAATGGATGCATAGATGAAAAATAGGTATATAGATAAGACAGATATAGATGATAGATAAGTAGATAGAGGAAGATAGAGATGATAGAAAAATAGAGATGATAAATACAGATGACAAATACATGGATAAAATGTAGGCATATAAATATAAGATACAGATGATACATAGATATAGCTGATAGACTGTAGATCTTCAAATTTAAAATAAATGTTCTAGGTTTTTCTGTCTTCTTGACAATATTGTCTCGTTTCTTTTGTTTGATTGGCTGGATTTTGTTTCTGAAGAGACGATGTCTTGCTGTGTTGCCCACACTGGTACCAAACTCCTAGGCTCACGCGTTCCTCCTGCTTCAGCCTCCCGGTAGCTGGGACTACAGGCCTGAGGCTCTACACCAGGCTCGTGTTGGCGCATTTCTGTTGCCCTTTGTTCATGACGATGCTACAGAACCTCCGTCGCTGTGGCTTCTTGGCCGTCCGCATCCCCCGCGTCTTCTCTCCTGCACTCTGTGACCGAAGTCGCACGTTTGCTGAGTGATTGGCCAGACTCAGTCTGGGATTTGAGGCAGACGACATTTGGGCCTCTCCCTCATGAGCACTTTATGGCAGGAAGGGGCTAATTAGAGCCTCTCCCGGGCTGCCTAACAGTCAACAGCCATGGAGTCCTACTGAGGACTGATTGGTTGTCTTCAGCAGTAGACAGTTAATTGGTGCTTACTTGTGACCATATTTTATTCACCTAAAACACAATTTTAACATTTGAACTAAGTCTACAGACTTTTCACTCATCATAAAAACACTGAGACTGAGGTGGGAGGATCACTTGAGGCCAGGAGTTCAGGACCAGCCTGTGAGACTTCAGCTCAAAAACCAAGCAAAACAAAATAGAAAATGGGAAAAACGTAAAAGAAAAGTGTGTTTGAGCATAGGAGTTGTACAAATTCTACAATTTAATGCAAGCTTCTCCAGTTTCCAACAGGAACAGTTTACAATGTGATTTTGGAACTATTTACTCCAAATCAGTGGAGTACAATTTGAAATTTTATGCTTATTGAGGTTTTTTCCCTTAATACTTGGGTCTCACTGCTTTATGATTATTCTGAAGTCTAAATCCACAAGAATCTACACATGTATATATTATTTTAATATAAGCGTAAGAAGTATATTTTGGTAATTTTTCTTGGAATAAACCGTGTTTCTTTCTTTCTTTTTTTTTCTTTTTTTTTTTTTCTTTTTTGTACAAGGGATTGAACTCAGGTCCTTGCATTTGTGAGATAGGTGATGGAACCACTGAGCTAAATCCCCAGCCCTAAACTGTTTCTGACAGTTAAGGTGGACTGTCAACCTGAGTGGCTGGGGAGCCACCCCGGGGGATGAGTAAAGCACACTTCTGGGGGTGATTGGGTGGGTCATGGGGCATTACTTTGGGGCCATATCTGGTCCAGGCTCTGGCACTGTTCCCCTGCTCTGCTTCCTGGCCACCATGAGGTAAGCAGTCCCACTCCGCCATACCCTTCCGCCATGATGTTCCTGCCCTGGAGCCAGCTAGCCAGAGGCTGAGTCCCAGAAAGCTTGACCCAAGTTATACCCCTCCTTTAAGCAGTGAGTGCCATTACTGTGTCCCAGGAACGGTGACAGGAAGGCTGACTAATGCACTTTTATTCCAACACCTTTCATTCCTCTGCCTCAAGTGCCATTGTAAAGGAGCCCGGACATTTCTGAGGTGAGGGACTGATGTGGCCGCCTTCTAGTAAGTCTGCTCTGGCAGTGGCCCAGACAGAGGTCAGGGGATCCTTACTATCATGAAGGCCCAGGCCCCTGTGCGTCTCAGCCTTCATTTCACACCTCCTCAGAGGGAGAGCCGGCTGGGCTCACGCCAGACAGCACCAAGGCACGCGCCCTTGAATGTCTGTAGCACAGTTCACTGCAAGGAATTCCGTCTTCCTCCTCTGTCTTTGTAGCAACCACAGTAGTCAGCAGCAGCACAGGTGCTGCTCAACCTGTGCTTGTCTGAACACATTCTGCTTCTCTGATACTTAGCAGCATCGTTAGCAGGACATTTAGAAGCAGGCAAGCGCTGTATAGGAGTCCTATAGCTTTGTGCTGTAATCTAGACCTGTCAATGCCGTGTGATGCAACCTGAGGCAAGTTACTTTCTCTGAGGTTCGGTGTCCTTTTCAATGAAATGGTGATAAGAATAGCCTCCCTGAGGGCTGTGGGAATTAAATTAGGTGATGTATAAAAAGCATGTGCTGATGAACTGCTAATAAATGACATCCACAGTAGCCATTGTTATAATTTAGCCAGAGGTGTTGGTTTTTAATCTCTTTGTCAGCGCATCTTGGTATGGGTTGGATTCAGCCACCTGCATGATTTCCTAGTGAAAAGCAGGCCTGGTTCTGTTGCGTGCTGCAGAGCTTCCTGGGAAATGCAGCTGGTTCGTCTCTGTGGCTGTGCAGTCGCTCCCGAGTCTCCACTCCGCGATGGGAGTCAGCCAGCCAGCCACCCTAGTACCCCTCTGTCCGTGTTTCCAGTCTGTGCCAGGAGCCCCCCAAGTTACGTTTGCAATTTTATGTGTTTAAAATTCCAGAAGTGTGCATCTGATACATATGACAATCATGCCAGTCGTCTGTTTGCTCTAAAACATAGAATTTCATGCCAGAAGTTCTATTTTTATCCATGATACATAAGGGCCTTGGCAGACTTGGCATTTTCAAGGAAACTATATGCATTTCTACAAGGGAAATTTAAATTTTCAAGCTAGTGGTGGCTTTGGGCATTTCCATTTGGAGATGCCTCAGAGCATGTCCCTTAAGAGGTGAAGAGTAATAAAGGTATACATTTAATAAAGGAATAAGTCATAACTTCTTCCTGAAAACCCCCAGGGTTCCTAGGGATCTCGTGGCCACCATCTTTAGCAATTTGTTTCTTGCTTCCTTGCTGTTCATTTCTGTGAGGCCTTCCCACATCCAGGTTCTGGTGGGGACTAGAGATAGGATTTCCTATTCTGCAGGCTTTGGGAAGTTCCTGCCTCACTTTGGTGTAGCCACCCTGAGAACACTCATCGTGTGCACAGGTGACTGAGAGCTCTCACTGCTGTGACTCTTAAATCCCTGTTTTCCAGGTGGGCACCTTAACTACACCTGATCTTTTAATTGGTGCTAGGAGAACTAGTGTGAGCTCAGATGCCAAGCTCTGTTTCTCTTGTCAGTAGCAGGCTGCTCCTCACAAAGCCCTGATATCTCTGTGCCCGCTTTTTTCCATACTGTACTTTATCTTCTTTAAAAAAATGAACTTCCTCATTCTTATGCTTCATCATTCTAATAACCTCCTCCCCTGTCATCCTTAGCAATAGCCATCCCAGTAACCCCACTAAGTCTCCCTTCTTCCTAAG